TTAATGGGTTCTGGGGAAGTCCCACTCTATTGTGGTCTGGTTTTGTCTCGCTTTTTTGAGGAGCGAGTGGTGGTAGTTGTGTTCTTTGTTGTAGGTCTGGAATGAGGTTTTTGCTCCTCTTTGGCGGAGGAGGGAGATCGTTGTCTTCCATGCCTTAGGGTTCGTGATCGTCATCCAATCCTCATCTTCATATTCTTTTATGCTTTTTAGCAGCCGAGTGGGTACGGAAGGGTTCTTTGTCACAAAAGTGATGTGGTCATTTGGTAGATATGTCAGTGCATATGTGATTCCAGTCAGGGTTTGGTCGTCTGCATTTTGGGCAGATTTGTTTCGGATCAATTTTGTTTGGGTCGGCGTCGTGGTTATAAGGACGGCTATCATATTGGGGTCTTGTTCAGATCCCATGAGTAGCACCGTTAGGCTTTTTTGGTTGGGGAGAGGCTTCAGTCTCATAGGCAGCGGAAGGGCTAGTCGTCTGTCATTGACCAGGCGGACTTTATATGAGTAGGATTCTCTGAATATGCGGGTAGTTTCAGAAGGGTTGTTTGCTTCACTTTGGGTAGCGGGGTCGAACGCTATTGGGTCTTTGTTGATTTTTGTTTTCTGATAGTGTTTTATTCTATTCGGAGTGTGTTCCAGATTGTCAGTCTGGGGTACTTCATTGTTCAGTTGGAATTTTGGCGGTAGTTCCGCCAAAATGATGGTCGCGATGTTGTAGCATTGGTCGACTGCATTGCACTTGACTGTGTTGGGTTCGTTTGAGTATGCGAATCTTTCCAGATCCTCTACTGTTTCAATATTGTGTTTGTTTCTTAGGCATCTCGCTGCTGGTTTGTTCCAGAGGTAGTTGTTTTTAATGGCTGGGTGGTGCCAGATAGGCATATTGTTTTGTACCGATTTATTTGCGTGTAGGAAATCAATGCCTATGTTGTACTTTTGTGCAACTTTCAGCATTCTCGTTATCGTGTTTGGGATTCTGGCTGATGTGGCCTGTGATTCGTGCCATGATTGGAGTAACCATGAGATTCTGCTTTTTGGGTCTGTTATCGGCATAGGTGTCGCATTTAGGTGTAGGATTTCATCCATTAAGTACCGCCCATGCTGGTCTTTTTTCAGTTTTTAGCCATTTTTTCAGCCATATAATTTCTATGGCTTCGAGGCGGGTCGATATATCTGGGATACCGAGGCCTCCTTCATTTATGCTTCGGGATGCTTGGTTCATTGTGATTAGGCCTCTCTTTTTTCCATCCCACAGGAAATCTTTGGTTATATCGCTCATCTGTGATTCGAAGTTCTTTGGCATTCCGCAGACCGTTGCTAGGAACAACGCTCTCGAATGTATCAGGGATTTAAGTATAAGTTCTTTTCCTCTGAAGGACAAGCGGTTGGCTTTCCAGGCTTTAGTCAATTTTTGTTGTTTTTCTATGATTGTTTTCCATTGGGTGTCTAGGTTGATACCATTACCCACCCATGCACCGAGAGTTCTCAGCGGGGATCCTTCTGGGATGATGGTCCTTTCGGGTGGTATGGTATAGGATTCGTTTATTTTTCTTGATGAGATCAGGTTCACCCTGTATTCTTTTTTCCCTATCGGGAGGAATTCTGTTTTTCCTTCATTGAATTTTGCCGTCGATGCGAGGCAGAATAGGCTTATGGTTTTGTCAATCTCTCCAATGTCATCCACGACTGTGGTGTAGATGAGGGTATCATCTGCGAAGACTGAGATTTTGATAGGTTCGGGGTGATTGGGGATCGATATTCCTTTTATTTTCTCATTCGATCGTATCGCGGCCGCCAAGGGTTCTATAGCGAGGTCGTATAGCAGACAGGCCATCGGGTCTCCTTGTCTTACGCCTCTTCCTATTTGGATGGGTTCTGGGACCATGCCGTTTACCATGACATGCGTCCTTACATCGGAGTATAGGGTTCTGATGAGGTTTACGAACTTCACGGGGAAGTCGAATTTTTCTAGGACTCTCCATAGGTAGTCGTGAGCTATTTTATCGTAGGCTTTTTCTTGGTCTAGTGCTATTATGCATCCGTTTATTTCTACTGTCTCGCAGTAGTTGATCATTAGGGTCGTTAGACGCGTATGATCGTATAGGCTTCTTCCGGGTATAAAACCGGCTTGATCGGGGTGAATCAGGTGTGGCGCGACTTTCCCTAGTCTGTACGCTATGGTTCTTGTCATGGTTTTGTAGTCCGTATTGAGCAGGGTTATCGGCCTGTAGTTCTCAATTTCATCTTTATTTTTCTTTTTGTAAAGTAGGGTCATGACTCCGACGGTGAAGTCTTTGTCGTGGGTTCCGTGATTGAAGATGTCACGGAAGACTTCGTATAATATGTTTATGATGTCCGTCTCCCCTTCGAGTTCATCCTTGGCCCATGTTTTGTAGAACTCGTAGGGTAGTCCGTCTTTTCCGGGGGACTTTCCATTTTGTGCTTTTGAGAGAGCTTCTTTAATGTCTTCTTTCGAGACGGGTTGTTCAAAGAGGAGATGTTGGTCTCCAGTCTAGTTTGGTTTCAAGTTTTTCTAGTATTTCATCAATGGCCTCCTCTCGGGGGGGGGTCATCGGTAGGGGCGTCTGTAGGTTTTGGTGGTATTCGGTCGCTATTGCGGACATTTCTGTCGTGGTTCTTTGTAATTCCCCATCTTTGTTTTTTAGTGCCGCAATGAGTTGGGCAGGTCTTGCTTCTTTGTTCATTTGGTACCAGTATTTGGTATTGGCTTCGCCTTTCTCGCTGTATCGGGCTTTTGCTGCCCATTGTAGTTTTTCTACATTGTCATAGAGGGTCTCATTTAGAGCCTTCCTGAGGGATTCAATTTTTTCTTG